TCCCTTGTGCTCCAGTTTTTGTTCCCAGCTGGTAATTAGCCCAAGTCATTATTCAGACGGCTCCTTTCTTACAACAGACCTTGCTGATGATCACTCCAGTTGGAGAACCTAGGGCAAGCATGCAGTGCTCCTTTGCCCTCCCATTCCGTAAGAGCAGCTGTGGAATGATTACTAAAAATGATCGATAATACAGCATTGGTAAAGATATAAAATCAAAAGGCTTCTAGGGTAAGACACAGCCGCAGCTGGTATGTGAAGAATCCACTACATCTGCGATTCCCTGTACACTATTGCTTGCAAAGCAACACGGGGAGTGGAGTGGAGTGGAGTGGAGTGGAGGATGGGACAGAGTGGAGACACTGCGGCTAAACCCCTGTGATAAACTGGGGACTTGGGGACCAAATAGAGCCCTCGAAGGTCTTATAGAACTGATAAACTGCCTACTTGTTACCCTGAGCCAACAATCTGTCACTTTTTTTGACAAAATGCTGTCCTTTAGTGATCTTTGCTCATTATAATGTCATTATAATACCAAAACACACCTCCATCCCAAAGGCTACCCGCCTCCAAGGTGCGACCACTCCTCCTTGAGTCTGCGCCCTGAATTTTTCGTAAACTATACCTTTAAATGCGAGGTGAGAAAATTTTACACCAATCATAATGCAAAGTATTTATGACTAAAGTCACTCAAACTCCACCTTGAAGATAAAAATGAGTATAAAAATAGCACGAGAAAAGGGGGATGTGAGGGAAGACACCATCGTGGACTTCTGGGACCAGTTGACAGGCTGAGCCTCTCTTCCCCCACCATAAGGATGCTTGTGGGTACGATTCGAACACTTGGCTATACCAAGTGCTTCCCGGGGAAACTTCAAAATCTCTATATAGAGTAGTTTTATAACTTAGCGCTTTTGTTAACTGAGCTATATTGCTAGCATCTTTAGTATTTACACGTGCTTTGCAGACAGTCACTATCACTCGCAATCCAAAAGAACTTGTGTATCTGTTGTTTAAATAAACGGTACTGTGTGGGCAGCAAGTCGTTTGGGTTTTCTCATTGAACGCAACAGAAGCGAGGCCGTGTTAGTTCATGAGCACGACTGGGCTGAAGGTGCAGTCTGCTTTGAGTGTATCCAGAACCGTAACAGTTTAATATATTAAACGCACCTGGACTGATAGTGGTGAATTGGGCATCACTCAGAATTTAAACCTAGCTGCACCTAGCCTCCCACCTCCATGAGGACAGTTAGAACGCAAGGGGGTTTATTTTCTGCCAAAACTACTTTGCCCCTTTAACGCAACAGCGGCTCATGACTAATGACTGCCAACCTACAGGTCGGTGGAAGAGAGCTGTGTGGATGCACACTGATAAAGTGAGAGCCACCGGGCAGCCTGGCAGGAACGCAGGTGTTGCCTTTAGCCATGCAGAACCCCCCTGAGGTGCTCCTGCTCAAAAGCACCTCGACTTGGCTCTGCCCAAAAGTACCTGAGGCTCCACACTATTAGCGGCAAAGGTTTCTGCATGTCACCCTGTTGGATTCAGGGGAGAAAAAAGATCCTCTAAGCCCTCCTCTGCTATAGTGTATGAAAAGTAACCATATCATAGAATGGTTCGGGTTGGAAGGCACTTTTAAAGGCCATCTAGTCCAAACCCCCCTGCAATGAGCAGGGGCATCTCCAACCAGATCAGATTGCTCAGAGCCCCCTCCAACCTGATCTTCAATGTTTCCAGGGATGCGGCATCTACCACCTCTCTGGGCAACCTACGCCAGTGTTTCACCACCCTTGTGGTAAAAAAGGTCTTCCTTATATATAGTCTCAATCTACCCTCTTTTAGTCGTCATCACTGGTTATCATCAAAGCATTATCATTCTTGATCCTCAAACTGTTGCCCAGTCGGCAGGCGAGTCTTTACAATCATAGCATCATAGAAGGGTTTAGGTTGGAAGGGGCCTTGAAGATCATCACGTTCCAGCCCCCCTGCCATGGGCAGGGAC